ATTTGCCTTCTCTAATTCCACTTGCTCTAGAGTAGAGCTGTCTTTTACAATAGTGCTCAACTTATTTCTATATAATATAGATTCATTGAAAAATAATATTTCTACTTTTAAAAATTTTATCATCATCACTATTCCAATAATTGAGCACTTCTTAAATTTCGGATCAAGTTTACCACTGCTAGTTTAATCAACATAAATATATGACAAACAATCCAAAACCTTCAAATGTGATAAACATACCTCATTTCTTATCTAAGATTCTTCAAAAAATGCCAAAAATGAGTATAAATGATGGCACTTGATTGATCAAATATGATGTCGTGTTTATCGCATTTGCTTAGAAAGCCTTTTAAAGAACTGCATGCAATCTCATGGTCCTGGAATGTTTATTGAGAGTTCTATTCATCCATTTAGCTACAACATTTTATTGTGGAGTTCTTAGGATTATTCTCTCCATACATATCCCATTAATAATGCAATGATTTTTAATTCTATAAATTCATACTCTCCACTATTAGATACATAATTTTAACTTGATTTTTATTTCCCTCCAAGCTACTCCACTTGATACAAGTAGTAGTAACCACATTAAATATACTTTTAATAAAATAAACAAAAATATTTTTTATACAATCTTCAATGAAGGTAACATAATATAGGAATCCTCCTAAGAAAGCAATGAGAGATAACTCTCATATATCCACGTGTACTAGCTCCATCTTTTAGATCTAAGCTCTCTACCGATCTTTAAGAAAAATCTCGTTTTTAATTACATAGAATACGATTTTTACAAAAGGTGGATTCAGTGGATTCTAAAATTGGAATGTTATCTTCAAAGTGAAGAATTTGCAGACCTTTCTCACTCACAGAGTCTAGCCATTGATATCATAAATTTGAATTATCTCTGTATCAGTAGTTGCTCATATTATTCTCATTTTAATAGTGGTGTAAAAAGTGTCTATCTTATTAACTTAAGTAATACCCTAGACATCTTTTATCAATTTTCAAGTATTATTATTGAAAGCAGCATAACATTCCTCTACAGCTAGCTATTAGATAATGATAAAAATTCTCCTCTTATTAGGGATATGACTAACTTTATTCTACTTTCAAGTATTGCTACTATCTTAATTATCACATTCCAATGCATACAAAATTTAAGGGCTCACCATCAGTAAAAAATATATTGCCATAATTACTGGTTTAATAGTTTGCTATTTGATCTTTATTAGAGGAAAAAAAAAAGACGCATCTGACTCTAATATTTATCTCTATTAAATGTACTAAGTACAGCATATCCTGAATTTCTTTCATAGCGACATTCATTGCCTCTTCTTTTGACTTCTAGCTGTATTCATGTATCCTTTTTTGTATTCTTTCAATATGTGGCCAAGCTTGCCACAAAGTTGATCCATCTCAAGATAACATTTAGATAGTCAATTCATATAAACATCCTATATTTTGAGTTTCATTTAGTGGACAGATGCTCAAGTCAGATGAAGACTTGCAATTTCACTCTTTCTTACTTAATGAAATAACATCCCATCTCCATATAATGAATGTGGGTTTGGTCGTTAAACCACTTAATTTCTCTTCTCTTTCTTTTCTCTCCCTTACTCTATTTTCCTTCATTGTAATTTTCTCACTTCTTGATGTCATGTTCATCTCCCAAGTTAAAAATTAATTCAATTTTAGCCGTCACAGGAATTAAATAAAAGATGACATGGGTGATCTCGAGATTTGCTTTTATTGTGAATTAATTGATGGTTTTTGCCATGAGATTTTAACCTACCAATCCATTTGTAGTTGCTAATATTTTAAGAAATACTTCTATTGTCATTATTTCAAATAAAAGATGACATACTTTTACCTTTTTGTAACCCACGATATTCTCACTAAAGATAATATCTCTAATATCATTAAGCATCATCTTGGGTAATCAATAAATACAACTGACAGCTATTACAATGTCATCCCAGCTATCAAGCAAATATGAAAGCAGACCCATTATGAATCTCATCATCAAACTTGATGTTGACAGAGTTTAGCTGTCGCATAATTGAGTTGAACTTGTTAATGTGATCGGTGATCGGAGCTCCTTCTATCATCCTAAAATTAAAGAATCGCCTTATTCACTACGGAGGGCTTTCATATATATCAGAAAGCATCTTCATGACACATTTTTCTGTCAGCTCAATGGGGATGTTAAATGCAGTGTTCATAACAACATATAAGCCAATGATCACTAATGTTTGTCTGGAAGCAATATGCCCTTGCTATGTTTAATCTGGAATGCAGTAAAAAAACAATTGAATTAGTGTTTCCCTCGGACTTAGGTCACTATCACCGCCTAGATGCAATGTGTGGCAATGGCAAAAATCAGTAAGGAGTAACCAATGATTGTACAATAGATGGAGACATTGGTAGAGGGAGTAAGCAGTGAGTTTTAGAGTTATTTTACAGGCCACATCAGCAAGAGGAGTGGGAGCGGAAAAGAGGGAAGATTTTTTGAGAGAAAGAATTGACTTTCATAGAATGAATCAATCATATAAATAGGCATTTATAGCAATAAAGAACTTTAAAAATAAAATGTATCTATGATAAATTGACTCCACGGTAAAATTCCCAAACAAATTCCACCATACTATAAATTCCCCATATTAAAATGACAAAGAAGAAAAGTTCAAATTAAAAAAACAATTAGAACGAGATTTATTGCAATTAAAATTTAAATTTCCAAGAAAAAAATCTCTACCAATGTTATACAAAATGCATCTTATCCTACTTCAATCTAGATTTTGAAGCAATGGCCCAAACTTCTCGCCTCACAATCTTGATCTTCCAACCTTCATTAATAATGTCTTAATCAACGAACTCCTGGAGATATCCTATTCAATCTTAAAATTATGATTTGAAAATTAACTCCACTTGCAATCCAATCAAGACATCCTTAAAACTTTAACAAGTATGATCACTTCAATCTTTTTATGATTTCATGACCAAATCACAATCATACATGTTTGATTGAATATTTACTTGATCTAATTTTCATATCACACTTTTAAACTTTTAGAAAATAAATTTGTTTGTTAGAAAAGAACAAATTCAATTTATCAAAATCACCCACTACTTCCAATAATCAGATCCACTTATTCAGTAATCATATTCATATTCATATCCATATTCAATTGTTTAGAAAATGTTGTTAGACATTAAGTAATCATATTCAAATGGTACAAATTTATTTTTATAAATTCAATGGCAAGTAAGCACACCAAACTTTCAATACTCAGATTAACAAAGAAATAATTTAAGGTATAATAGGTATTGTAAGGCTGCTTTTTGAAGAAAACTCTTATAGGAAAAATGATATGACTAAGGAGCAGACATAAAGTCCCAAAATGAGTAATTTATATTCCTTCAAAATAACACGCCAAAAAACAAAGAAGTCAACGAGAGAACCTTATATAAATTTCCCCCAGAAAAGTACCTCCAAGGAAAAGATAAGGACAACCGAAGGGGTCAATAGTCTACTCTCGTAACGGCTTTTAACCTAATCCCAATCATAATTCCAAATAATACGGAAAAAAGGACCAAGTTAGACAATAATAAGAAGTTCTAAACACTCGGTTCATGAAATACTAATAGAAAGTTTAAAACTAAATCTACTCCCACTTTTCTCTGAATGTAACAAGTTCAATTAAATCCCCTGTTATGATAACTCTCAGTTATGTGAATTAAGACGACGCCGCAATTTATAAGAAGGTTTTCTATAGTTAATGGGTACAACTATCATTTGGCTATTACAAGTGTTTAATCGGTCATCTTGTATGAGTCATTGTCTATATATATGTAATGATGTATATAATTTGAGAGGGTTAAAAAAGAGAAAATTTCAGAGAGCAAGGTGAGGAACCAAGAAAGCTTGTATCGAGATCAAGATCGATAGAGAGCTATAAGAGATTAATTCGTCTTTGAAATTGTGCGGTGTAATATTCAGGATTGTCTTAGTGAAATGTTTCTTGATTCCCTCTCGTTGACGTAGTTTTTATGGATCGAACCACGTAAATTCTCGATGTTCTTGTTTGCATTTTCTTTGTGGTCTTCCATTTCCTGTTTTGCTGTCCTGCGGTTCTCCTGCAGCATATTTCACTACAATTGACGATATTTGTAGAAATTCTAGCCACGACAATAGGATCTGCTAAGTTCGACATCGAGAAATTCTCCGAAAAGAATGATTTCGGCTTGTGGAGGGAATCCTTTTTTATTGAGATTTGTAATTAAGAGTCAAGGTGGAGAATTGTTATGATGATTTTTCAGTTACGTGAACTAAGACGACGTCGCAGTTTATAAAGAGGTTTTCTATAACTAACGGGTACAACGGTCATTTGGCCATGACAAATGTTTAATCGGTCATCTTGTATGAGTCATTGTCTATACATATGTAATGATGTATATAAGTTGAGAAGGTTAAAAGGGAGAGAAAAATTCAGAGGGCAATGTGAGGAACCAAAAAAGCTTATATCAAGATCACAATCGATAGAGAGCTAGAGAAGATTGGTTCATCCTTGAAATTGTGCGGTGTAATCTTCAAGATTGTCTTTTGTGAATTATTTCTTGATCTTCTCCCGTAAAAGTAGGTCTTATGAACCTAACCACGTAAGTTCACGGTGTTCTTGTTTGCATTTGTTTAGTGATTTTCCTTTTCCCATTTTGCTGTCTTGCTGTCTTGCAGTTCTCTTGGCAGCAGATTCTGCTACAATCCCAAATTAGTCACATCACATACTACCTAACAGTCCGCCTTGAGAGTTGAAACCTCTCTGTCTCACCCAAATACCGCCTTCCTCAAATCATGACTTTTCCAAAGCTATGAACAGTGCTAGTGCATTATCCAATTTAACTTCCCGTTGAGAAGTGAAACTAAACAAAGCCAAACATAAACCAATTAAAAAAACTAGTGCATTAAACTTCAGAGGCAGGGTTGAAGTTTCAGCGTGTACTCGAGCACGAAAGGCAGCTTTGAGTCGGGCTGGGGAGCAGCAAGCAGGATCGATGCCAAGAATCTGGTACGGGGAAGCTGATGGCGATGAGACCCAATCCTCCTGCTCCACTTCGTCCGAGATTCTCGCCTCACTGGCGTCACTTCCGATTCCAGCAGAATCTTTCTTGCGAACTTTGCATCTTGGCCTCAAGCGATTAGGGTTGATGAGGAAATTCGATCTGAAACTCGTGAAGTCAGCTGTTTGGAAGAAGAACGGCAACGTACAGCATCCCGCGCCGAGCAATGCGTTCATCTCTCTCTCTCTCTCCCTCTCGCGCGCACTCCTTGGGCTAAAAGGCCAAAGTAGGCTGAGCCAAGGCCTACCCACACTCTCATATCACAATTCATTATTAAACTCCAACCCATATTTTTGACTTTTATCAAATTCTCAATACTTTGTTAATTTGTAAATATTAATATTTTAGATGATTTGTATGTAATTATCAAAATAAGAAAATGAAAGCCCTAACTTAAAAAAAATAATAATAACGCATTATATGATCACTTTTACCTCTACTTAATTAGGGAACACTCTATTGTTAAACATAAAACACAAGTGCAAATTTAACTTTGTTTATGCCAAACAATTGCTAGAAATTACTAAACTTATATATATATATATAT